TTTTTTTATTACCTGTTCAGTCTCTTCTCTTGTTATGGGTCTGTTCAGATTTTCAACATCACTTTGTGTTAGTTTGGGTAGGTAGTGTGTTTCTAGAAATTTTGTTCATTTCCTCTAGGTTTTCAAATTTCTTAAGTATAGTTTTTCATAATACTGTGTTATAATCCTCTTTATTTCAGTTGAGTCTGTTGTAATGTCTCCCATTTCATTTCCTATTTGGGTTATTTGTGTCCTCTCCTGTTTTTCTTTTGTGAGTTTAACCAGTGGTTTGTCAGTTTTGTTGATATTTTCAAAGAACTAACTTTCCGTTTTGTTGATTCTTTTTATTGTTTTTCTATTCTCTATTTCATTTATGTCTGCTGTGGTCTTTATTATTTCTTTTCCTCTGGTGGTTGTGAGCTTCTTTTGCTGTTCTCTATTTGTTGAAGTTGTGTAGCCAATGTTTTGATTTTGTCCCTTTCTTCCTTTTTGATGTATGCATCTATTGCTATACATTGACCTCTGAGCACTGCCTTTGCTGTTTCCCAAAGGTTTGGGTATGATGTGTTTTCATTCTCATTTGATTCTAGGAATTTCTTGATTCCATCTCTGATTTCTTCTATTACCCAGTGGTTTGTAAGCAGGGTGTTATTCAGTTTCCATGTAACTGATTTTTTTGCCTTGGTCTTCTCGTTGTTAATTTCTACTTTGATGGGGTTGTGGTCAGAGAAGATACTTTGTATTATTTCAATGTTTTGGATTTTGTTGAGGGTTGCTCTGTGGCCTAAGATGTGGTCTATTCTGGAGAACATTCCATGTGTGTTGGAAAAGAATGTGTACTTTGCAGCTGTTGGGTGGAGTGTTCTATATATGTGTATGAAGTCAAGTTAGCTGATTGTGTCCTTTGGATGTTCTGTATCTTTGTTGAATTCTTTCTAGATGTTCCGTCCTTTACTGAGAGTGGTGTGATGATGTCTCCTACTATTATTGTGTAACTGTCAATTTCTCTTTTCAGTGCTGTTAGAGTTTATGTATTTTGGAGCCTTGTCATTGGGTGCGTAGATATTTATTATGGTTTTGTCTTCATGACAGATCATCCTTTCATCATTTTATAGTGTCCTTCTTTGTCTTTTGTGGTGGATTTTGTTTTAAAGTCTATTTTATCTGAGGTTAGTATTGCCACTCCTGCTCTTCTTTGGTAGCTGTTTGCTTGATATATTTTTTTCCATTCTTTGATTTAATAAATTTATGTCTTTGTTTCTGAGGTGAATCTCTTGTAGACTGTATATTGATGGATCCTGTTTTTTAATCCATTCTGTCACTCTCTGTCTCTTTATGGGTGCATTTAGGCCATTTACATTCCATGTAATTGTTGATAGGTGTGCATTTATTGCTGTCATTTTGTAGTGCTTTTTTTTTTTTGGTGCTGATGCTTTCTTTGTTCCTCTTACTCTCCTGTGCTGATTTCCTATTGTTTGTGGATTTTTTTAATTTCTTTTGTTTTTGTAGATTTTGTTTTTACTGAGACTTTATGTTTTTCTTCTTTATTTTGATGAGTAGGTTTGTAACTTTCTTTGTGGTTGCCTTGAAATTTACCCTTATCTTCCTAGGTTTGTACTCATCTATTATTACTTGGTATTGCCTTGCCTTCCTCCTCTTTAGAAAGTTCTATACCTATGCTGTTTATTCCCTCTTCTGTTGTTCTGACATGTTTGTCATTTGCAGATTAACCCCTCTGGTTCCCTGTTGTAAATCTTTTTGTTTTGAATAGTCCTTGAGAGTTCATTTCCTAGGTTGGTGTCTGGCTGGTACAATCGTACATCCTAGGATGGACGTAGGATCTGATGTTGTTTGTTCTCAAAGTGAAGGACTCCTTTTAATAATTCTTTTAAGTTTGGTTTGGTTTTTACATATTCCCTTAATTTTTGTTTATCTGAAAATATCCTAATTTCACCATCATATTTGAGTGAGAGTTTTGCAGGATATATTATTCTTGGTTGGCAATTTTTTCTTTCAAGATTTTACATATGTCATCTCATTACCTTCTCACCTGCATGTTTTCTGTTGAGTAATCAGAGCTTAGTCTTATTGTTTCCCCTCTGTATGTGACTTTTCGTTTTTCTCTAGCTGCTCTCAGGATTCTTTGTTTGTCTTCGATGTTAGAGAGTGTGATTATGATATGCCTTGGTGATTTGCTTTTGGGGTCTATCCTATGTTGGGTTCGTTGAGATTCTTGGATGGTCAGCTTTTCATCTTTCATGATATTAGGGAAGTTTTCTGTCAGCAATTCTTCAACAATCTTCTCTGTGTTTTCTGTTTTCTCCTCCTGTTCTGGAACTCCTATCACTTGCAAAGTTTTGCTTTTGATTGTGTCCCACATAATTCTCAGGGTTTCTTCATTTTACTTCATTCTTTTTTTTTCTGATTTTTCCTCAAACAGTTGTATCCAAGTATTTGTCTTCAATTTTGCTGATCCTGTCTTCCATTGTTTCAGACTTGCTCCTCAGACCTTCTATGCACTGTCCGTTTCTGAAATCTTGTTGTTTATCTTTTGGATTTCTAACTATTGTTTTAGTAAGATTTCTAGTTGTGAATTTGACATTTTATTTCTGTATTATTTTCCTGAATTATTCCATTTTTTGGTCTGTATTTTCCACGAATTCATCTGCCTTTTCCATGAATTTGTCTATTTTTTCCTCACTTTTGTGTCTTTTTGCTTCAACTTTTGGATAGCCCTGAATAGTAGAGATTTGAATTCCCTATCATGTAGTTCTAGTGCTTTTTCTTTGGCTGGAAAGTCATCTGGTGTATTATTTTGGACCTCTACTGGAACCATCCTGTCCTGTTTTTTTATATGTTTTGATATTGTCTGCTGTCTTTGGGACATTCAGTAGTTATTTTCTTCATTTATTGATTGTAGATTTGTTTGTTTCATCCTGTTTTATTTGGTTATGTCTGTGTAGGCAGGCTGTGCATTCTTGTTGTTTGCTCGTCTGTGGGCACAATACTTTTCACCTGTTTGTCCAATGGACAAGGCCATTTGCTTAGCTATGGTGCAGCAGACAGGTCCAGCTAAAGGGGAAGGGCTGAGATAGGTTTTTGTGGCACGTATTGGGGCCAACAGGGCAGGCCAGGGGTCAGTGCAGAGCAGGTTCTAGTAGGCCTTGCCTGTGGTTCTTGGGAGTGTGATGTTCAGCATATGATGCAGGTAAGCAGGAGGGAGGAAGGAAGTTGTGATGTGTGGATCTAAGATGGGTATGGTAAAGAAGAGAAGAGGAGAGAGAAATAGGATCCAAAAATCAAACAAAAAAAGTGCTGAGGGATCTTGCCTTTAGAGTGGAGAGAAGAGAAATGAAGAAATACAAAAAGGAAAAAAGAAAAAGAGAAAAATAAATAAAAATTTAAAAAGTAATGCCCCCCTGGATCCCACCATCGCCTGGGGAAGTGGTTCCCAGGCCTCAGAGCACAGTCCGTCTAGAAGGGGTGGAGATGGCACATTATGCCAGGTATGCAGGAGACAGGAAAAGAAGGAAAACAGAGAGAGATGAGAAACTGAGAAATGAAGAAAGGAAAAAAGAAAAAGAAATAAATGCCCCCAGGAATCCCACAGGACAGCTGTGCAGAATGGGAAAGTGGCTCCCATGCCATGAAGTACAGCCCGGCTAAAAGGGGCTCCCAATCTAGGAAAAGAAAAAGAAAACAAACAAACAAAAAAGGCCCAGGGGATCCCACTAACGTGACTGTGCAGACTGCGGAAGCATTTCCCCAGCCAAGCAGCACTTCACAGCCTGTCAAGAAGAAGCAAAGATGGCACACAGAGCCAGGCATTGGAGAGGAAGGAGAGGGGAGGAGGTGAGAAGAAGGGAAGAAACCAAAAGAAGCCAAACAAAGCAATAGCAGCAACAAATTGGTACTGAAGGAGCCGGCTGGTGTGGGCAGGGAAAATCCAAGTGGCAAGGAGCTGGCGCCTCCCAGGCCATGGTCACTTGGCCCACGGAAACAGCAGAGGCTGAGCAGGGGGAAGAAAGGTGGGGGTTGGGAAAGCATATATCGCTGATTACTGGGTTCTCTGTCTCCTGCTGGAAGCTCCACAAAGCTGCTTTCCCATACTCCCTGTCCGCCGTTCTCTGACAGGAGTCCAAGATGGCAAATCCGTGCTGTGTTAGCTGATAGGGGACCTCCACTCGTATCTCCTCACTCTCTGTTCTCTGTCAGTTTCTTATTCCATTCAGTGCTTGACTGAGTTCTTTATCTCTTCATTTGACACTTAGGGTTCCAGGATTGACGTTTGTCTCCATTTTACTTAGTTTTTCAGGACTCTGCGGTAGAGGGACAGCATGGTGCTTCTGTCTAAAGCACCATGTTGGCTCAGCCTCCCCTACTTTGCCAATTACTGTAACTATGTGTATAACTAGAATTACTGTTTAATATTTTGTAGTCAACAATACTCTAGTCCATTTTTTTAAAATGTAAATTGGTAAAAAAAATTGTTTTGAATCCATAAGTAATTGGGGAATAACTATTATATTTATAAGAAGATTGATTTTTTAAAATTACTTTTCAAGCTATTTTGGAATACTTGAATTATTATATACTTCAATTATCAGAGACCAGCATTTAAGCCTTCCTTCTAACTATCAAAGGTCCTAATGCATTGTTAAGAAAAACTACCTGTCAGTGAACTCTGTGAAATGAAAATGTAAGCATATTCAAATATCTCCTTTACATTTAGAACATGTTTTCCGGTTGCAAAGAGTACAGCAGTTTTTCATTTGTCACTGCATGACTGGTGGACATTACTGTAATACTTTCATTTCAGTGAAATGACCCTGAGGCCACAAAATGTGCTCATACTAACTTAGTGGTTTGTAGCCCTGGGATAGGAGCCTGTATTGTTAAGTAATTCATTTTAGCTCAGGGTTTCCTTTGAAAGAACTAGGTCTGGGCTGAGAATATTACCTCCTAAGAAGTATTCAGTAAGATGGACTGTGTGTCTAAAGGTTAAACTATTTTTCCAACAGGTATTCAATGGTATTAGAAGTAACTCACCCCAACTAGAGAAACTGTGTAGTAGAGTGAATGTAAGCGACCAGATAAAATCTTCAGGAAATACAATGAAAGTCGTTTTTTTCACTGATGGGTCCAGGCCTTATGGAGGATTCGTTGCTTCCTACACATCCAGTGAAGATGCAGGTAAGGGAGAATGTAATAAATACACCTTATTTTAATCTGATGTACTAAACATGCCCCACAACCACTGCCAACAGCACTGGAGCCTCCTATTTTCCCTTTAGTGATAAACGTTACACCTGAGATTTTCTACATAAGACAAATGTACATAGCCAGATGGAAAAACCAACCCAGACAGGAAAAAAAAAAATTGGGGTTTCAGAAAGAAAACTGCTACTGTGAATTAAAAACTTTAAAAAAATACTATTGAAAGAGCTTCCTAACTCTATTCTACGCAACATTGCCATTATAGTTGGCTGTTCTGCAGTTCCTGGTGGATTCTTTTGTGCTGAAAGAGACCATTTACCTCTTAGAGAGCAACTTACTCCCAGAGAGTAACTATTTTAATCAAAGAAAGACAGATTTCATTGTTTCCTAATCATTCATATATATGAAATTAACAGGGGAAAGGGTTTCACATTTGGTATAGAGAATTTTTAAATTAAGCTAGATGTGGCTTCTAATTGTAAATATCCCTTTACTTTCTAGATTGGTGCTATTATCTAATGGTTTTTAAATGTAGGAATAGTGGAACGGTATTTTTTTAAAAAACTTAAGTTACTTCATTGATAAAAGGAACATTTTTTCCCTTGTTAAAAGGGGCAAATTCATTGACACTCCAGTGTTATCATATTCTCTGTTTGATCCAATTAAATTCTTGGGGTGCGTGGAGAATTTCTAATTAGAAGCCATTAAGACCTACAACCACTATATTTGAGCACTTCTCTAAATTAAATACAAAGTAATAATAGGCCCAAATTAGGAAATAATGATGCGCAGCCAAACCTCACCTACCTAATCTGCACTTACAGGGGTGATAAAGAAACTTTTTATTTTCGTACACCGTTCCTTTATAAACTCACAAAAACTTCTTCCATGGCTTACATGCATGAGCTAGCCCTTTAACTACAACACCAGCTTCATCTAGAAAAACCAATAACGGTGGTGATGTTATTTTAGTTATTGTTCTTGTATTGTTTGTATCTTCTGTTATGGCATGAATCTTACTGTTTTTTCTGTTGCCTTTGTTTTCTTAGTGTGTGGCGGGTCCCTTACAAATTTCCCTGAAGGAAACTTGACTTCTCCTGGCTATAATGGAGTCAGTAACTACTCAAGAAACCTAAACTGTGAATGGAGTCTTAGTAATCCGCATCAGGGAAATTCATCCATTTACATTTATTTTGAGGATTTTTACCTAGAAAGTCACCAAGACTGTCAATTTGATGTCCTTGAGTTTCGAGTGGGTGAGTTCAATCAAGAAACAATTTCCCCACAATATTTTTCTTATGCCTGTAGACCACCAAAGATGAAGGAAGTCAAATAGCTATAGTATAAATACATAAGATCCAAAAGAACTTTGTTCAAATGAATTCTGTGCCAAGATTAGGAAAACATGCTCTGATGAACAGTATGTGAGTGGATCAGTGTTTACGACTGGATCCTATGTCTCAAATGATTTCACAGTATGTGAGACTTACCGGTAAGAGATTTCCATTTGCCTCTTCCCTCACAATGAGTTCACGTAGTGCCCTTCAACAGTCTTCTACTACTCAAGACTCCTTTCCTTGGAGACTGGAACTTAACAGAGTCAGAATGTACCAGAAGTTTCCAGTACTTATAGGATTCCCAAAGAGGCTGTGGAATCCTACTTAGGCCTTAGAAGTCCAAGGAAGTTTTGCAATGTACCAGATGGAGAAGTACATAGAAGCTATATGGGAAATTTTCTCTAAAGCAGTCAAGTTTTCATGATAGAAAAGGATTGAGATGTACTTGGTAAACCATAATTCACTTAAGAATTTGTAAAAATCTGCATTCCTGAAAAGTGAATCGATTTTAGTTTTTTCCTACAGTCAAGGCATCTTGACTATCTATCAGATAGTCTATCAGATTGCTCCCACCATTACGTTAACACACTCTTTTCCCTGTAAATAAATTAATAAATATAAGGGGGAAATAATATCATAGATCATCTGTACTGTCAAAGGCTCAATGAGTTCTACATTATCCGAAAATTTAAAGAAAAGGAGAGTGAAAGACTCAGAAGCTAACGTAGTTAGCTGGTGAGGATGTTCTGGGGCAACTACAGAAATCAGTTCTGGCTACCTTTGAGAACATGGCATACAGAATTTTCAAGGAGCGTTTGTATGGTCATAGACCAAGTGCCTGAGCAAGAGAATTATCTTGGCTTTCCGAAGTAGATTAGTCTAGACAAGACTTATGAGGGAAATAGATGTTGTAATTTGAAAATGTTCTCTATGTGATTCTCATAAACACTCACCATGTCCACCTGTTTCAAAACCACTAGCTTATAGAATCAAGCAGAATAGTTATTTATCAAATTCCAGTCAGTTAAATGCAGTCTTCTCTTTATCATCTCAGTCTTCAAGACACTTCCAATACTTAATTTCACTGATTTGTAAGATCAGTAGTGTTGATCTGAAAGAATAAACAGAGAACAGATAAATGTGAGCTTGTAGGTGTGCTATAAATGTTAATCAAATTACTGTCAAAAGTATTCTTCATAAAAAGACTCAGCGCCAGCCTGACAATTCTTTGCCTGAGTACTGAATATTCTTTCCTTTTAGTTGATTAAATACAATGAAGAAATCTTTAAAAATCTAGGTAATTATTACTTTTTTCTTGGTGATATATTTTGTCACTGTTGGTATTACCCATTGCCATCAAGTTGATTCCAACTCATAATCGGACCCTATGGGACAGAGTAGAACTGCCCCATAGAGTTTCCAAGGAGCACCTAGTGGATTCAAACTGCCAATTTTTTGGTTAGCAGCCATAGCACTTAACCGCTATACCACCAGGGTTTCCACTTTTGGTATCATACCTCTTATCCCTAAAGGAGGCATATCTAAAAATTTATTATTTTTAATAAGTTCTAGCACTGTTTACAGAGGTGCTAAAATAATTATGAAAGCACTAACTGGAACAAAATTACACATTACAGAGAGATTTATACCAAAAAAGTATGAGATTTTTAGCCCATTGGAGGAACTTTTTCTTTGGCAGTTGACAGAGATAGAGAGGAACTTTGTGAATTGTCTGCTACTAAATCATGATTTAAATGTATGCCAATAAATACTGTAAATTTTTTATTATTTTTTAAAATATATGTCATATATAATATATAGCATAATATATATCATCTGTTAAAAAACAAAATACTTGTTGCCATCGAGTTGATTGTGACTCATAGTGACCCTGTCGGACAGAGAAGAACTTGCCCCATAGGGTTTCCAAGGAGCCACTGAGCTCTTAACCACTACACAGCCAGGGCTCCATATTATATGTTATATAATATAATTTAATAAGTAAATTTATTTAAATATTTTAAATATATTAAAATGTGTTTAATAAATTATATACAGTTGGTTTCAAAGGCTATATAATAATGGCACTTGGTATGTTATTTTGCTTAGGAAATGCTGATGGACCTCTGATGTGGAGACTTTGTGGCCATTCAAAACCTACAGTACCATTGGTCATACCTTATCCTCAGGTCTGGATACACTTTGTCACCAATCAACAAGTAGAACATACTGGATTCCATGCAGAGTATTCCTTTACAAGTAAGAATTATGGTTAAGCTCTCAAACACTGATGATAAAGTAATTGATGAAAAACTTCAATAAAGTTTTATGTATTGTTTTTCATAAAGATCTCACACATCTTTTGTTAGGTTTATCTCTAGGTAGCTATTAGTTGTTTTGTTTTGCCAATGTCAGTGGGATTTTCACATTTTCTAACTGATGGTTGCCAACAACTAGGAACTGTTTTATTTTTATACATTGATCTTTCATCCAGAGAACTTGCTACACTCTTATTAATCTTAACGTTATGTCTATAGAATTCTCTTTGGTTTTTCTGTATAAACAATCATATCTTCTGTGAATGATAGTACTTTCTATCTTTCAATCCCAATACTTCATTTCTTTCTCTTGTCTTAATTAGCTAAGTCCACTATCATAATATTGAACAGATGTAATTACAGCATCTTGTTTCTGATTTTAATGAGGATGTACAACATTTCATTTGTTAATTATATTAACTGCTCATCAAATTAAAGAAAGTCTGTTTAAGTCTTAGTGTACGAAAAAGGGTTTTTTAAAATCATAAATGGGTATTAAATTTGATAAAATGATTTTTCTGCATCTGTTGAGATGATCTCATTTTTTTCTCCTTTAATACATTAATGTAGTAAATTATATCAAAAGATTTTTCTCTTGTTAAACCATTCTTGTGTTTCCAGGATAAAACCTTTGTCATGATATGTGTTTGCACATTTCATTGGATATTGTTTGCTAATGTTTTGTGTTGGATTTGCATCTGTGGCATTCAGAATTTGTACCTGAAATTTCAACCCAAGACAGACAGCACAAATTCTTGCTGCTTCCCTAGGCCAATAGGAGTTTTTCTAATTTCTTTTCACTGACATCGCAGTCCTTTTTGTTTCCCAACTTTACATAAAAGTATCAGTTCCAGCCTTTCATTTTGTGGGGGTCCAAAGCCATATCTTCTCTTCCTTCATGGTCATTAAAACCTCACATGCCAACCCCTAGCATCTATATCTTGGTTCTATATTCTGACTGTCACACTTTCAGTATGAGATTATCCCTCTAAATCTGAGTTCACTTACTGGTATGAAAGGAGCCCTGGTGGCGCAGTGGTTAAGTGTTCGGCTGCTAACTGAAAGGTCGACAGTTCAAACCCATGAGCTGCTCAGTGGGAGAGAGATATGGCAGTCTGCTTCCATAAAGATTACAGCCTTGGAAACCCTGTGGGAAGTTCTACTCTGCCCTATACAGTCACTATAAGGTCACTCTATGGCAATGAGTTTGGGTTTTATTGCTTATGAATTTTAGAGATCCCATTTTGTTTCCATTGAGTTTGGCTGTATATTAACACATGTTTTTGTTATAGTTGTGTCTAATATTTCTTAGTGTTGTAACCAAAGGGTTGCTTGGAGGAAGGAGTAAGATAGACTGGTATCTATTCACTCCACCATCTTGGCACTTTTTATTTATTTATCAGATTGAAAGAAAAGAGTCAGACCTGAGGAAACAGTATTATTTGTGTTAAACATCAGACCATACTATGCTTTAGAAATATATTCGTTTTTCAACTAGTATGCTGATATATAATTTGATAGCTGACTTATGAATATATGTGCTTAATATCAAACAATAAAATTTCTACTTATTGTGTTGATCATATTCTTCAAACTTATGTTTTTTTCAATGGCCTGGTTCCTTTCAAGAAAGATAGTGTCATTTACTTTGTCCCTACTGCATTTACTTTCAGCTATACACATGTGTAATTCTTCTCCATTTATGATACAGATTATCTTCATTCTTCTTTGTGTTAAACTTGAGCTTATCTTTGCTATGTAGAAGCAATATGATATTCTGTTTACTCTGATCTCCCACTCAATTTTTCTTTGCTTTTATACAATTTTATTTACTCATTTATTTTTATTGTAGAGTATGACTGCTGTAAGTACTACTAACTTTGGCTTTGTAGGTGTTTTTCCTTTTATCTTATTTAGAGGGTTACAAATCTAATTTTCAGACTGTGGCGGGATACAGACAGGTGAGAGTGGAGCGATTGCAAGCCCCAACTATCCGGCCTCTTATGACAGCTTGACCCACTGTTCTTGGTTGTTGGAAGCCCCACAAGGCCACACCATCACTGTGAGTTCTAATGATTGGGTAATTTACTTCTGAGACTATAGAATAACAATACGATGTCCCTTTAATAAGCAAGCAATTAGAGTAGGCTTTGATCCTGCAATCAGAAAACAATATCCCATTGTTTTCTCTGTGAAATTCTCTCATTAGAATACATGCCCTAGTATCTACAAGTCTACCATTAATGATGACTGAGCTCTCTCTTCCATGCATAGGAGAAGCTATACATAGAAGATGATTCCACATTCAGGAGAAAGGTGTATTCATGTTCTTAATATGAGTTGCCATCCTAGAATCAGGTCCTCTAATGACTCCTGTTCCTGGAGAAATATCCTATCTCAAAACTTTCAAGAGAAAATCTTCAACAAGAACAGGGGAAAAGAGGGAAGAATTAAATAAGGGACAAAAATAAAAATAGTATATAAATTTAAAAAAAAAAAAAAAACAGATTTGTAAGGATAGCTTCCCCAAGGTAGATAAGCTCACTTACAACTCGGAGTGCCTCATAATTTGTTTTTTGCTCCTCCAGCTTACATTTAGTGACTTTGATGTTGAATCCCATACAACTTGTGCCTGGGACTCAGTCACCATCAGGAATGGCGGCTCTCCTGGATCACCCATAATAGGACAGTACTGTGGAAGTTCAAACCCCAGGACAATTCAGTCCGGATCCAACCAGCTGGTGGTGATTTTTAACTCAGACCATTCGGTGCAACATGGTGGCTTTTATGCTACGTGGATCACACAAACTTTAGGTAAAGGAAACGTTTTCTTCACTCATTTTTTTTCAGTGATCTATTAACTAATTCATCAAATATACATTACATACCTACCCTGTGTCAGACTTGATTTTAAATATTTAAACATATCATCTCTTGTAGCAACCCTGTAAGAAAGATACAACATCAGTATATATTTTCTCCGTTTGGCATGGGCAGAAACTGAGGATAAGTGGCTTGATAATTTGCCCAGGTTACATAGCTGATAACTGGTAGAGTCAGGATTTATGTAAAGGCAGGCGAGTCCAGAAACATTGATCTTAACACTTCACCGTGCCACCTCCATAGGAAAAAGAGCATGGTACAACCAAGGAATCGCAAGTAGTAGAAAATGTGTGCTAGAATCACAAGCAGTTTAAAATATTTGGAGCTTGGAGGCAGAGGGCTGAGTAGTGGGTTGAGGGCAGGAAAGCAAGTTGTCCACATCAGGAAGAGCCTTGGCTTATATGTTATCCCTTGAGCAATGAGGAGTCATTGAAGAGTTTTGAGTAGGAAAGTGATGAGGTAAGATTTGTGTATTAGAATGAATGCTCTGTCTGTAAAATGTGAGTACTGAATCAAAATATCATAGACTTGATTGAAAATAGTAGCTTTGTGCATATAAAGTGTAAACTTGATGAAAATTCTCAGAAAATAGAAGGATATGTATTGGATACTTTGTCCAGGATTTCTGTAAAGCCTTGCAATACTGCACAGGGTAATTCTTACCATTAGAGTCAGACTTATTATAAAAATCTCTGTAGAAATAGTCAAACTTTCCCTCACTAAAACACTGCTGCTGTTGAAGTCAGAGGGGATCTTTAGATGAACCACTGGTTTTCCAAGGATTGAAAATTAAAAGATTTAATAAATGCTCTCTAATTTAATGTCATCGTTTCGTTTGTTTAGTTTTTTTTTTTTTTTTGAGTTCACGTTTTTCTTTGTCATCTCTTAGATACATGTTTCAATATTATAAGCAAATTCTAAATTTTTCTTTTTCTATCCATGTTATTTATTTCTATCCATTAATCAGTTTCAATATGAATGAACCAAATTGCTTAGTGGAAGAATTTTCCCCTCTTCAAAATCATATTCTCTAACTAAGTACATCAGAGTAAAATTACAAACAGATACAGAGTTGTATTTTCATGTGTTAGTGGTAATAAAATATGGAATTTGGCCTTGTCAAACTACAAATACTGTATAACCTCAAGGGAAGTAAAATATTTGTGATTATTTGAAGTCAGAAGTCTCTCCTCTTTATTGTAAGATTTAGTGGTTTCAGGTGAGTTCAGTATACGTGTAACAAAACCGTAACAGCTGAAGTTTCGTCTTGGTTCAGTGCACCTTACATTTATTGAGAGTTCTTGCTGAGCACCTGCCCAAAGACCAGTGACTCACATGTCAGGGAAGAGACACTGAAATCTCACATTTAGAAATGTTCCTTCTCTAGAAGTCTTAAATTTTAAAAATGGTTATTCTCCTCCTTGCAGATTAATGAGTTTTTCGATGACAATTTTTCAGGCTGTGGTGGAATACTTCACTCAGACAATGGTACACTCAGATCCCCTCACTGGCCTCAGAATTTCCCCGAGAACAGCAGATGTTCGTGGACAGTCATTACTCACGAAAGTAAACACTTGGAGATCAGCTTTGACAACAACTTCCTAATCCCCAGTGGTGACGAACGTTGTCAGAACAGCTTCGTGAAGGTTAGTGCTCTTGTTTATTTAACTGGAGCCGAACTGGTTTCATGAACATAAACGTTTAGACTAGAAATGACTCATTACCTCTCAAAGCAAGAAAAGGAAAATTTTGCTGCTCGGATTATTTGGATGACAAAGTGAGAAAACTCAAATGTTAAGAGTTAAAACTTGAACCTCAACACACATCCTTGTAAGTATCTTGTGACTTTTCACTTGCCAATACATGGGCAAAGTAATTCAGTTACGGAGATTGTTCTCTGGCCTTATTAAATTCTCATGAACATTATGGTTTTTCCTTCCTGTGGAAACTAGAGAGAAGGCTAAGTCTTTTGTTTGTTTGTTCATTTTTGTTTTATTGTCTAATAGACATTCAAGGACAAATGCCCTTTGGGCTGGAGATGTAGCTAGTGCCAGCTTTTACTCTGGCCCTTAAGAGCTCACAAGCTGAAAAGAACACAAGAGAGCCGTGTAGAAATTGATGGACCGGCCAGCAAAGCTCTCTAAAGTTGTCCTGCTCATGTGGCACAGAAACACCACTTTCCTGAACGATGACCATGATGATTGAATGATAAATTCATTTCACACATTTCATACTTTTATCTTATATGTTATGTCTCTAAGGGGCTATGCCCTTTGGTGGAAAGAGCATTGGCTTTAAAGTCACACTGACTGGACTTCAGTCACAACTCTCCCACTTACCACTTGCTTGCTCTTATGCAGGTTAATCAAGCATTTAGGCTTCCATTACTCAGTTATAAAATGGAGAGAATAATTTCTACTTTAGTGGGGGTGTTTTAAGCAGCAGAGGTAATATGACACAATAACACAAAAAAGCACTCAGTACTTGGAGTATAAAACCACCTAGGAGTGGTAGCAGCCTTTATGGTCATTGATGTTATTATATTTTATATCATCTCTTGAATTATGTTTTATATCTCATTGATCCATACTTGCTGTTTCAATGAAATTCCATATCTATATATGTGTTTCATAAAACACTTCAATACACACTCTTACTAACTGCTTTTTATATGAAGTAAATGAACTCTCTTCTTATGGAATGAGTCAACATCAAATCTATAGACTTAACTAAAGCCCTGCAAGTCCTGTAGTTGTAAAAACAGAATTTCAAAAATGACTTGGGTAGAGACTTCTGGTCCAGACAAAATGGCATTGGACTGTGGGTCTCCACTCCTCCCTGCTAAATACAATTATAAACTCCAGAAATACTGCAAAAGACAACCAAAGATGGACTCTGAAAGCAAACAATTTGCCCTCCACGCAGGATAAATGGCAAATGCCAAAGCAGCTGTTGTGTCTTCCTTAGTATTTCGAAAACTCAGCTAGATCGTGTCAACTAGGAAAAGTTCAGAGGAAACTGAATAGTAATTGAAAAGAATCACTGCCCAGCTACATAAAAATGGACACAGTCTCCTTGGAGGAGTCAAGAATGGGATATGCTATAAAAAAGCAGCTTAAAAAATATTCTCACAGTATGCTCAGGATTTTTGTGTTTTATTTACTATTATGTTTAATTCTATATACACCCAAGTACCGTTATTTTCAAGCCTAAGTGCATTAAGATATGGTCAGCGGAATAGTGTAAGCACTAAATCATGTTTATGACTCTACCAGGTGTGGGCAGGAACTGAGGAGGCTGACAATGCTCTGTTAGCCACAGGCTGTGGGAACATGGCTCCGGATCCCATCATCACACCGAAAAACACATTCACTGCTGTGTTCCAGGCTCAGGGGGCTCCAGCTCAGGGCTTCTCTGCATCCTTTGTAAGCCGTAAGTAGCACTAAAGGCTGAAAGGTCCTTGAAAGCTCGTGCCTGCCACAGTCAGGGCTGGGGAACAGTGGGACAGCTGGACCAGGGATGACTGGAACCAGGAGTTGAAGAAGAAGAATACAATTGCCTAAAGCATGGACAGGTGACCTAATCCTTACTTCAAAAATCAGTGAGAATGGAATTAAATTCAACAGTATGTCAATTGACAAGTGACATAAAAGACATGAGTGCCACTAAAAAACAGTTGCCATTGAGTCTATTCTAACTAATGGTGACCCCATGTGTGTCAGAGTAGAACTGTGCTCTGTGGGATTTTCAATGGCTGATTTTTTTGGAAATAGAGCTCTAGGCCTCTCTTCCAAGGAACCTTAGGGTGGACTCGAGCTTCCAGCCATTTGGTTAGCAGCTGGGCATGTTAACAAGTTGTACCACCCGGGGACTTCTATGAGTGCCACTAGCCAAAGTCTAAAAATAAGCCTAAAATCCCAACTGGGGCAGGCATTCAGCAGAAACTTGGGAGGTCAGTAACTAGTAGACACCATTGTGCCTGGCATGTGGCACATATACCACTTGCATCAAAATCACTTGGGAGAGCTTTGAAAACACACATATTGGGCCTCATCCCAGACCCAACTGAATTCAGAATTTCTATGGGTGAGGACTAGTAATGGCATGTTTTAGCTCTCACCCAGATGATTCTCATTTTCAGTAAACTCTGGGAGACATTTTCTTCAGGATTTTCACTTCCTAAGTCAGTACATGGGTCCACTTCTCTGGCTACTAAACACAAATTAGGTTAGTGGGAAATGTAGTCGTTTTCAAGACTGATAAGCAATGGTATGTGCTTGTTGACTGAATTAAATTAAGGAGCCATTAATTGCAAATGACCATTTAGGAAAAAGTTTGAGGAAAGGAATTAGAGGTAATAATACAGTAAACAGATATTTTAGACAGGAATAAAAGAATGAGGGTTGTGTAAAGGAAGCAATGAAAGACAACCCAGACCTAATCTTAGATCTTCAAGTTGGTTTGTTGTATGGTATGTATATTTGTGCATAACTATGTTTGTTTTAATATCAGTTTAGAAGGATACAGATATTTTCATACTTACTAGATCATGCAGTGATATGGTGATATGAAAACAAATTTCTTTTTAGTGGTAAAAAGATATTTCTCTTTATTTCTGACATCAGGAATTCTCATTAAATGAGAATTTAATGAGCTGGGATTATGGTATAAATTCACCTATTTTTTTTTTTTTTATAAGTAACTGTTCTTCTTATAGCCAGATTACAAGGGTAATTGATGTAGTTTTCTAATTATAAGAATAATACATCTTTAAAACATTAAGTGTATGAAGTATTGACTGAGGGCAAATCACTTTTCATCATTTTTTTTCTTTATCTGCATGAATTATATTCAGTCTTTGCTAATTTATCCTTTCTTGAATATATTACAATGACGTGATTTGCAGTAAAATTTCTACTACTTAACCCATAAAACTCTATAGGCTTTTCTAAAGCTATATATATTCTCATTTTGCTTGTATATTTGTAAATCAGAGATTCATTCTCTTAGTTATTGCTTCTTCCATTTGGAGTACCTCAAGGAATTAGGCCTGTAGAGAATTTAGGAAATTTGAGTCTTTCCTTCACTGATAAAATTAATACTTTATGCAAGAACAAATGTTATGATAGCGCCTTTTTGTTCCCCTGTAGGATGTGGAAGTAATTTCACTGACCCTTCAGGTTACATCATTTCTCCGAACTACCCAAAGCGTTATGACAACAATATGAATTGCACCTACATCATTGGGGCTGATTCTCACTCTGTGGTCCTCTTGACTTTTGTGACTTTCCATTTGGAAGGTAAGTGTGTTCTTAATAAATTAATGAGGAGTCAGTGGAGGGCAAGCAGGCAGAGATACCCTAAAATCACCCTTTAAAGAAAACAGTAAAAATATATTACCAAAAAAACAAACTAAACCTGTTGCTGTCAAGTCGATTCCGACTCATAGGCACCTACAGAGGCAATTTAATGTAAACTTAATTGAAATTCCATCCAGTATTGTAAGAACACCTGTACCGGTCTGTATATTCCATCCAGGAGTACAGAAATAATTCAATGGCTTTAAGAACACAAACATCACATAAATTGCTTAAAGAAAATAAGTTTAAAGTGTATTACATGTTAAGAAGAGTTTTTTTTAATTTATTCATTTTCTTTTACACGCTACACACATATGTGCACACACCCACACCCACATGCATGCACATACTATAAACTAACTAGCAAGAGAAATTGTCTTGCTGAGTCAAAATAGCTGCTTACTAATGTTAAATGAGCGAGTGAGTAATAGTATTAGATATTTGCTGGCTGGAGGGTGAATGACAATAGACACAACTTGATGTTTAATGGATACTATGACACTTCAAAAAAGGAGTCCTGGTGGCACAGTGGTTAAGTGCTCTGCTACTAACCAAAACGTCAGTGGTTCAAACCCACCATCTGCTCCACAGGAGAAAGATGTGGCAGTCTGCTTCCATAAAGATTACAGCCTTGGCAACTCTATGGGGCAGTTCTACTCCTTCCTGTAGGGTCACTCTGAGTTGGAATTGACTCAGCAGTAACAGGTTTCATTTTATCAGGCATGGCACTTCAGAAAAGTGATCGCTTCAAATATATTAATATTTTTTACAAATTAACTTTCTATTTTAAAACTACAATTAGTCTGTTAATTTGTCAAGCTACCTCTGCATAATCAAAGTTTCTTTCTGTTTGGGTTGATCTCCTCTGGCAGTGAAAAGTTAAACTTATGTTCTACATTATTCAACATCTGGGAAATTTTTATGTTTGTTAAAAATAGAAACGACATGTCAGTACTCATCTATTGATAAATTATACAAAGCCTTTCTCCCTTTTCTCTTTTTCTATGACCTCACCTCCTTTTCCTACATCTCTACAGTTGTATTTTCTGGCATATGTGTTTGATAGAGCATGCCAAATATAAACTGATGTATGTCACTGTCAAGCTAGCATAAAAAGTGAAATATAATCTTTTCAGCATGTGCCAGCACAAAATCCCAGTGATATAAAAAGATGTCCATGATGTATAAATTATCAGGGTAGGGGGAGAGTTTTAAAACACTATGTATAATGTCATCCAGTTTTCTATCTGGAATAACATACATATGAAAAATATCTGGAATGCTATTAAGCAGTATGTTAAGAGTGTTATGTCTGGACTGATGATCGTCATTTTCTTCTTTATACCTTTTGTTTATCTTTATAATCAGGAAGAAAGTTATTTTAGAAGGAGAGAAAAGGAGAACATGATATGTGGTTAGGATTTTTCATTGGTATGTGCATTTGTTCTCATTAAATAATAAACGCAAGAATGCCATGTGTCAATAGCGTGCATATAGCCAAAAAAAAACAAAAAAGTCTGGTAAATATACTATAAAGCCACAAAAGGCACTGCCAGTACCAACGGAATCTCTATTATTACAGCGGAACTGCTCTGACCCCAAACAGTAGCCCCTGGGCTTAGTTGACTGAGTGGCGGAAAAGGGAAAATGTACCCTGGACTGCCTGACGTGTGGTGTGGTGGGAGAGAGCACAGCATTTTAGGGTGGGTCTCCATCCCTGGTCTGCCACCTCCTAGTCATGTAACTTTGTGCAAATTGCTTAATCTTTCTTTCTAATAATCACTTGCCTTTTTTATCAAATTGTTGTTAGCTGCTATAGAGTCAGCCTCCGAGTTATGGTGACCCCACACACAACTGAACTAAATGCTGCCCTGTTGTGTGTGTACCATCCCCATGATCAGTTGTGGACCAGACCATTGTGATCCATGGGGTTTTCATTGGCTAATCTTCAAAAGCAGATTGCCAGACCTTTCTTCCTAGGCCATCTTAGTCTGGAAGTTCTGCTAAAACCTGGAACAGGTTTCAGTATTGTCATGGTTTGAATTGTGTCCCCCAAAAAAATGTGTATATCAATTTGGCTGGGCCACAATTCCCAGAACTGTATGGTCATCCTACATTTTGTGATTGTAATTTTATTTTAAAGAGGATTTGGGTGGGATTGTAACACCACCCTTACCCAGATCACATCCCTGATCCAATGTAAAGGGAGTTTCCCTGGGGTGTGGCCTGCACCATCTTTTATCTCTCAAGAGATAAAAGGAAAGGGAAGCAAGCAGAGAATTGGGGACCTGATACCACCAAGAAACAAGCACCAGGAGCAGAGCACATCCTTTGGACCTGAGGTTCCTGCGCAGAGAAGCTCCCAGACCAAGGGAAGACTGATGCATCACAAGGACCTTCCTCCAGAGCTGACGGAGACAGAAAGCCTTCTCCTGGAGATGATGCCTTGGATTTGGACTTACAGCCTACTGGACTGTGAGAGAATAAAATTCTCTTGTTAAAACCATCCACTCGTATTTCTGTTGGAGCAGCACTAGATGACTGTGACAAGTATCATAGCAACACAAAAGCCCCCAATGATAAGCACAAAAGTTATGAAAGTGAGATAAAGCCTGTAGAAACATATTTCATGCACTACAATTTATCACAGTGGCCATTGTTTTTGTTATTTCTGCTGTTAGTATTTGGGATCTCCAGGTGTGCCTGTACACAAGTCATCTGAGTGCAGATCTGTGGTTTTGCCAGATTAAGTGATTTCTACTTCTACTAACGAATTTGCTAACCCTCAACTAGTTGAAGAGACTGGTGTGTGTGTGTGTTACGGGATTTCCTTATGTCAATGTTTTATGACATTTTCAGGGTTACGAGTACTCAGCATTTTCAAACTACTAAATGAGAAATTTCTGGCTGTATAGTAATTGAATTGTGATGGTTCCCAAAAAGGGCAACACTAATCAAATGTGTTTTAAAATTAGGCTATCATCACTATCATATCAGTACCAGAATTTCTTGAATTCCCTCAACAAGCTAGGGATTCATTAACTGCATTAAAAATAACCTTTCCACAGCCCTTCTAAAGAGAGCCTGGGGGAGTCACGTGCAGCATAGTGGATAAAACTGAAGAATTGCTCTCAGGGAAGGTCACAGCCTCATTGCAGAGGCATCGACCTTTCTAGCTGCCACAGGTGGTAGGAACTGTTTCTGAGAGAAATCATTCAAATGATCAAGCGTTTCTGAGCCCAGATACCAGCAGAGCAACTGTTGGCTTGGGCAGAGACTAGGATTACCAGGCTGTTGTTTTGTGGGCTGTTAGCACAAAGGGTGGCATTGGCAAGGGAAAGATGGGCTACACCAGGCTACATAATACTACAAGGAAACATGTTTGTCCATACATTGTGCCACGGAACACTGATAACGGGCTAGGAAAGTTTGCTGGAAATTTGGGCAACTATACTGATTATTCAGCCACACACTGTGCTTTCCTTACTGGAAGGTTAAAAAGATTCAGTGACCTACTTTCCATTAAAATAAGTTACTCTAAAGGTACACTATGCTACTTTATGTTGGCATAAGTTTTCCTAGCCTTCTCATTATTATTACATTTCTAATACTAGCCATTCTACAGGCTTCTGTAGAATGTAGAATTATAGGCTTCTCAAACTTTGTGTATAATCACCATTGCAGTATAAAATTCCAGTGAAATCCATTAAAAGACATAGAAGAAATTTCCATTTGAGCATTTACAAGGCAACTTTTTCGTTTCTGAATTTAACTTCAAGATCTTAACGGTGTCTTCAAAAGTTATAAAATGGAGAGTTAACTTCAAAACATTTCTTTTGGTCAAAAATTAAAAAAAAACAGAAACAAATGCTAACCAAAAAGAGAGGGAGAGAAACTATTAATGTGGTGCTTATTCTGGAACCAGGTATTATTAAATAAATGGTTATTTTATTTTCCTAAATATTTAGTAGGCTGAAAATACATTTTTTACATTCTCATGATTCGTGTGGCCGTGTAAATGCCCCTAAGCTGCTGGAGAAATTATAGATGCAGTTTTTTCAATTAATAGATAAAGCAACCAACTTTATATGGAAGAAAAGAGGTCCTGGGTAAGCAAAGCATTATTGAAGAAAAAGAACAAAGTAGAAGGCCTCATACTACCTGATCTAAGAACCTACTATACAGCTATGGTAGTGAAAACAGCCTGGTACTGGTACAACGACAGACTCATAGGCCAATGGAACAGAATCAAGAACCCAGATATAAATCTAACCACCTATGGTCAGCTGATTGTTGACAAACGACTAAAGTCCTTTAAATGGGGAAAAGACAGTCTTTTTTAACAAATGGCGCTGGCCAAACTGGATGTCCATCTGTAAAAAAAGCTGAAATAGGACCCATACCTCACACCATACACCAAAGCTCACTCAAAATGGATCAAAGACCTAAATATAAAACCTAAAACGATAAAGATCGTGGAAGGAAAAGTAGGGACAATGTCAGGGGCCCTAAAACATGGCATAAATTCAGTACAGACTATAACAATGCACAAACACCAGAAGATAAACTTGATAAGTGGGAGCTCCTAAAAATTACACTTACGCTCATCAAAAGTCTTCACTAAAAGAGTAAAAAGAGAACTTACAGACTGGGGAAAAAAAAATTGGCTACAGCATATCCAACAAGGGTCTAATCTCTAAACTCTATAGAATACTTCAACACCTCAATAACAAAAAGACAAATAATCCAATTAAAAAATGGGTAAAGGACATGAACAAACACTTCACCAAAGAAGACATTCAGGCAGCTAACAGACACATGAGGAAATGCTTGTGATGATTAGCCATTAGAGAAATGCAAATCAAAACTACCATGACATACCATCTCACCCTGACATTACTGGCACTAATCAAAAAAACAGAAAATAACAAACATAGGAG